AGGGAAAATGCATCCTAACACTTACTCCTCGATATTAATTCTCGTATTACCCAGTACTCCCCGAAACACTTTCGGTAACTCCAAAATGCTTTGGGTTTCTCTAGAAACATTTTCTGATATTCATAAAACTATTTCATAAATATTTTCTCATAACTCTTACACCACTAACACTCAGCAGACCGTGATTCCCTTAAGTGTGTGACCCTGTTGGTTCGGTAATCATAGATATGAACAAAACTCCTTTAATTCAGTGACCAATAGCGAAACTGTGGACACATTCATATTGGTCCCTAGTTATCTGTGTTATTCCCTTTGCTTCGTGATGCTTTACAAAACCCGAGGTGAGATGTACCGGTATCCTCTTGAGTCATTCTCATGCTCACTATACCGATCTCCTTCTTACCGATTTTGTTCTTCTTTCTCGTTGACATGTTCTGGCATCCCTGTGCTTATAGTCACCTGTGTGTGGCCAGACGAAGATGGATGTCGAGGGCCCTATGAATATCTCTCCATCGTCGGAGGAGCAAATCCCACTCTTGAGCTACGCAATCTCTTGTCATTATGATCACCGTGTTACAAATGATGTTTGAACAACCCCAAAGTCCATCGTACGGTAAGAGGTGACTATGATACTTTCATGGTCTAAGGAACAAAAGCACATGTTAATTCTCTGTGTTATATCGATTGACTTGTGACGATAAGATCTCAAAATATAACAAACAAGTTTGGGTCAATTCAGTTTGATCGTTCTCCTAATGTCATACTCCTGAAGCTGTTTTGAAACTATCATTACACTTAACAATATCTCAAGATCTGGAAAACATGATCACATACAACACTTGAGCTAGTCCTAGAGGTGAGACTAGGAATCAGATTTTTACCTTTTATCATTCCACATATACTTATGAGTTTTTCATTAAATCACAAATTCCAGGATCATAGCAGTTATAACATAGAATATAACCTCTTAATTATAAACATGGAAATAAATAATATAATTATTTCCTCTAGGGCATATTTCCAACACCATGTTGTAGGGCCGGAGTCGGCACCTCGCTGATCAACTCCACGTCGACGAGATTTGCAGGGAAGGCCGGGGACCAGCTGGCCGTCGTTGATGACGGGGATATGCGTGGTTCCCGGGCATGTTGCATATGGCTCCCGTCCTCGTCGTACCGCACTCGACACCCATCAAGGATATGTCGGCATGGCCCTTTCTCCCTGGTGCTTTGAGGTGCAGAGCAAAGGAAGATGAGGAGGAGCACGGCGGTGCCCATGGCCTTCGTCAGAACCGACGACGAATCACCTA